TTGCAGCATGCACCTTTAAAAGAAAGAATGTTATCAAGAAAAATTAGTGCTTATATTTTACTGGAAGACTACCAGCTCTTATCATTGGGGCTATATCCCATTATTTGGAAATAATCTCTTGATTAATTTCTCTTTCACCAACAAGTGTGCCTGATTTTCCACAGAAAATACAGGGGGAATATCTGCCACTTGGTTAGAGCATTTACATGAGGAACGAGGTGGGCAGTGTTGGTATGTTCTACATAGACCAGAGCCTTTGTGCTCTTAATCTCCCTTGGAACGAGGCCCAGAATTCAAAGCAGGAGGGCAGTAAATGTCGCCAGCTTTGTTTGAGAATCATTTCAATGTGATGTTTGTGTCTTGAGAACCCACGATATGCTAGATTGGCAGGGATGGGGGCCTGGCTAGCCCAGCATTCTGCCTCTGACAATGACACCAAGGGTGTTTTGTGGGAGGCATTCCTCACACTGGCACTCACAAGCCCTTAAGGCTTTGTGATACTCCCCAGAGTCTCGAGCTTCCTATAATAGTCTGTAGTGGACGTGTTACTCAGGAATGTTTAAAACCTTGAACCTGTTCATTTGTGTGAACTCTTAGGGTGACAGATTCCAGAAATCAGCACATATTTGAATGATTAGTTTATGCCTAGTACTAAGCATTGTAGTAGGTAGAAACCATGCTTAGTGTTTGATCCTTACTCTTGCTTGCGTTTTGTATTTTCTCAAGAACCCAAGGCTCAGTTGCAGTGTAGGAAAAGGTGGACAGTGATAGCAGATGTCACCTGGGAAATACATAGCACATTACATATGAGCCAAACTCAGTAACATCGCATAGAGACCACTGTTTAAAACTAAATGCCATATTATTAGTAATCTGTGTGGGGAAAATATAGCCCTCAGGGTCAACACTAAGTTCTCTTTCTATATGCAAAGCAAAACTGTAATTAGACAACTGATTAGTGAACAAGCGGAGTGAGGCTACTATGATTAAGTCATTGAGTATGACAGCGCAACATAGTCATTTTCACAGTAATTAGACAACTGATTAGTGAACAAGGCAAGTGAAGCTACTATGACTAAGTCATTGAGTATGGCAGCCCAACGTAGTCACAGTTCCTAGGAAAAGACCAAATGTTTATCTTTCGAGTGTATTGTTTTAAATTCTGGTTGACAGTCTTCTGGTGTTTAACAACTAAGGTTTGGAGACGAGAGTTAGAAAGATAACTAGGTGAAGAGGCAGCCAATATTTTGGTTCTGGCCCTCAAGATCAGCAAGGACCCAGGACAAGAAGGGAACTTTCCACAAGATCCTACAATTCCAGTGAGTCTCCCAACCTCCCAAACAGAGAGATTTTTGGGCTCACACTCCACCAATGACAGTGTACCAGAAAGAGGTGTTGCCAGAGAGAGAAGTCCCCCCATGCTTTCACAGAAGGCTCGATGGTCAAACAAGGCAGCGACCCATTCTAGCAGCTGACATTGACAGGAACTGAGAGGCTTTATACGTGGTTACAGAAGTAATGACTGAGAAGATTTAACTGACCTTGATATGTCAGTAGAGGTTAATTTTGATTAACATAGGTCTTGCTTAAACTGAGTTGTAAATACCCAGCAAGGACCTGGGTTTGATCCCCGCATGCCGTGTCTGCATGGAAACTGGGTGTGGTGGTGAGTGCATGTAATCCTAGCACTAGGGAGGCTGAGACAGGAGGAGTGCTGCAAGTCCAAGCTGCGTAGTGAGACCCTATACCAAATAAATACAGATTAAAAAAAAATTTTTTTTTAATAATAATAAAGGTTAGATGGTGGTTCTGATCACTAATTCTTGCAAGCAATTTCCAGTTACATCTGTAATTAACCACTGTTATGGTTCGGTAATGCTAAAAAGCCATAGTAACAGCTATAAAACTGCAGCAAGAGTTTTTAGTTCCTTAGCTAAAATTGTCCTTCAGAACCACCCAGCTCTCCATCTTCTTATACCTAGGACCGGAGGGACTTAGGCACTAATAAATGAAATTTGTTGGCTTTAGGTAAGTAATTCAGATCTGGTGAAGAAAACATCTTAAAAGAAGCATTAGACTTATAGATAACCTCCATCAGTAGAGAGGTCTAGGAGCCAGCCAGGTACAGTCAGTGTTCTAGCCCCTTAAGAGCAGTGTCTGGGCATGGCTCTTTTCTCAACCTGCCTTTCCATGTGACTGCCTTTTTCTTTTTCTTTTTCTTTTTCTTTTTCTTTTTCTTTTTCTTTTCTTTCTTTCTTTTTTTTTTTTTTTTTTGCGGAACCGGGGGTTGAACTCAGGCCCTTGTACTTGCCAGGGAAGCGCTTATTCTACTGAGCTATCTCCCAGCACCTGACTGTTCATATTTTGATAGTACACACTTTAATCTCTTGGAAAATTTATTCTTCCTTAGAGGGTACCCACGCCAAGTGATCATACAGATGGAACCATGATAAGAGAGCTCTCTACAGAAGGTCCCTGGCTGAGGTCTTTTATACACCGACCCTGCTCATTGTAAAACAACTAGGTTGAAACTTCACCCATTCTCCCTTAACTGGTTAGGGATACCTCTTGGTTGGGGGGGGGATATGACAGGCAGCTAAGTGCGGTAGAAATTAATAGGCAGTCAGACAGGGACAGGCCCTCAAGAAAGTCAGTGCAGATGAGAACACTCCAAAACTGGCTGGAGGCACATCTGAAGATACGACCTTAAGAGTAAAGTTATAGTAACCAGACATCCCTAAGGGATGGATGGAAAGTTGAGATTGTTCTGTAATTGGTCCCACCCAGTCTGTTAAGTCCAAATATGCGTGAGACACCTGGGCCCATCCCTTCCCCAGGATGTTCCTATTTCAGAAGTCATAGAGAAGCCCAGGTTCATGATGTCAGCGGTATGCCTTGCTTTGTGCCCCATTTCTTGTTGGATCAGTATTAGTTAAGCCACTATACTTTTCATCTTACCAGTTGATTATAGTTTGACTCACGTTCTGCCTCACAGGGACTATTCCTATTCCCCAATAAACCATTCCTACATAAGTAAGTAAATAAATAAGCAAGCAAGACACCCAAATGGTTGATCTTTTCTATTCAGCTTTCTCTCAGAATTGCCTTTGGGTATCTTTGCCCTGTCCATATTAGGTACTGAAGAGTTAAATGCTTGAAGGTAATTATTCTAAATATTTTGACAAGTAAATCTATATTCAATATGAATTCTCCTTAACATATACACCAATGTATATGCAGCAAACAATTCAATGAATGCAGTATGGCATGCTACTAAATTATGTAGTCTAGGGGGCCTGCCCTTTAGCTCAGTTCTTTGAGTGGCTGCTTCAACAAAACAGTCAGGCTCAGGTTGCTGTGGTTCATCCCCACAACTCAAGCCAGCCAAACCTGCCCTGAAGGCATTCGGAGCAAAAAAAAAAAATGTAGTCTAGAGTGAGGAAAACAAATCAGAAAAGAAGTGTCACTGTGGGCTAAAGAAGGGGTCTGTGTGTGGTGTCGATGGGACTTGAATTTGTGCTTGAAAAAGTATAAACTAAGGAAAAGAAGAGAAGAAAACGTGAAGTAGGAGCGAACTGTACCCTGCCTCTTTGGTTGCCATCCTTCTTATCAGTGACATTTAGTATTTCCTTGACCTTTCTGGCCAGAGAAGTACAGTGGTATTTCAGTTCATGAACTTGATTCTTTCTACCGTTCTGGTTGCAAATCAAGTTGGACAAGAACCAAATCAAATTCAGTGGTTAGGTTCGATGTTGACCTTATGGGGAAATTCCGTTCAGTTCTCATCCGGTTCAGTTTGAGACCAGTATTGTGGAGAGAATTGAGTTCATGAACCTAAGTGCCACTGTATGTGATCCAGCATGGTACAATGGAAGGTCGGGTAAATCCTGAATCTTCTACTTAGGATCTGTCATTTGCACTGCCTGGGAGCCAATGTGCACTTTGTGGAATCGATACCATACTACCTACATTATGATTTTTGTTGTTTCTAAGTTTAATAAGTGTGCATATGAACATTCCTAATAATACAGAGTAGATATTAATAAATGTTGGTTGAATCTAAATTGAGTTGATTTTTTTTTTTGGAAAGAAATTTATCCTGATGACAGATTACCCATTTACCTGTGCTGGCAGTTTCCAGTTATACCTGTAATTAACCACTGTTATGGTTCAGTGAGGCTAAAAAGCCACAGTAACAGCTATGAAGTGCAGCAAGAGTCTTTTAAGTTCCTTATCTAAAATTGTCCTTCAAAACCACCCAGCTCTCCATCTTCTTAAATCTAGGATTCCTACACTGGCTGGTGGGGCACTGTACAGAGAGAATAGCATGATTTCCCAATGGATAGGCTTCAGCGTACTGTTATAAACTTCAGCCAGGAGTGGTGGCACTTGCCTGTAATCCCACCTACTGGGGGGCTGAGGCAAGAGCATCAAGAGTTCAAGGCCAGTCTGGACTATATAGCAAGATTCTGTCTTTAAATTTAAAAAACAAAAACAAAAAAACTCACAAACTTGTTTTGCCCTTTGGGCCACTGTGGTTTTCTTTAAGTGATCCTGTTTAACTTCTAAATCCTTATATAGGGGCTGGGGAGATAGCTCAGTAGAATAAGCACTTGCCTGGCAAGCTCAAGGGCCTGAGTTCAATCCCTGGTTCCACCAAAAATAAATAAACAAGTAATTGTTGCCAAATATTTTTATTTTTTTTTAAACTTTTTTTTTTTATTTATTTATTTGAGAGAGAGAGAGAGAGAGAGAGAGAGAGAGAGAGAGAGAGAGAGAGAGAGAGAGAGGGAGAGAGAGAGAGTATGGGGTGTGTGTGTGGCCAGCTCAGCCCACCAGGGGGCGGGGCTGGCTGGCATGTGGTGCTGGGGGATTGAACCGCGGTCCCCGATGCTTTGCCAAGCTTGTTCTAAGTAGGTGCTTTAGACCACTGAGCCATCTCTCCAGCCCCATTGCCAAATATTTTTAGTACTAACTAATCTTAATATTCTTCCTTGTAGGTGCGGAATGGCCACATCAAAAGAATCACTGATAATGACATCCAGTCCCTGGTGCTAGAAATTGAAGGGACAAATGTCAGGTCGGTTGCCAGCTCTGTTCTCCCAGATGTGTGGTGTACACAGAGGTAGTGTCCCGTTGAGGTGATAGCATGGTCTGAAGAGTCAGGCTGCCTTGCGAAGCCAGCTGTGCTATTCAGAGCTTACCTTGGCAAGTCACTTAAGCCCCCAGCCTTCCCTCCCTTATCTGTGGATAGGGGGTAATTACATGCTCCTTACAGGGTTATTGTGAGGATGAAATAAGTGACCATGTATAAAACAGAGTGAAGCTTAGCACATAGTAAGCAGAATGTAACTATTAGCTTTATTAATATTTAACCAGAGTAAAGGTAGGGTGATGTACTGCTCATCCAGTGGATGGCCAGTGTAGTAGCCTTTAGGGCCATGGTAATCTTCATTTTCATTTTTTATGTCATAGCTCTCTTCAACAAAATTTGATATCGTTTGTTTGTTTGTTTGTTTGTTTGTTTGGCAGAACCAGAGATTGAACTCAGGCCCTTGTGAAAATTTGATATCTTTTCTTTTTTCTTTTCTTTTTTTTTTTTTTTTTGCGGAACTGGGGATTGAACTCAGGCCCTTGTGCTTGCCAGGGAAGCGCTTATTCCACTGAGCCGTCTCCCTGGCCCCTTCAAAAATTTGATATCTTTTGACTGGATAAACTTCCTAGGTTCCACTGGTCTGATTTTGGTTTTCATATATTTTATTGTTGGTGTCTACTCTTTGTTACAAGCTTTTATTCCTGAGCCCTTTTTTTGTTTTGTTTTTTGAGACCAAGTCTTGTTTTGTAGTTCAGGCTGGCATTGAATTCACTGTGTAACCCAACGTTAGCTTTGATCTTCCCGCCTCAGCTTCCCAAATGTTGGGATTACAGGTGTACACTGCCACATCAGGCTTATGAGTCCATTTTTTAAAAACCATTCACTGACTGGAGGATTGATGGACTTATTAGATAATGTCAATGAATTTTTAATAACTGCTTTCCAGTTTTCCTCTTGGGCTGTGTGTTATACATAGCACAGAGGAAAAAATAAGTAGCTTATTGGTATTTCCTGTCTACAGCACTACATACATCACATGTCCTGCAGACCCTAAGAAGACATTGGGAATTAAGCTTCCTTTCCTTGTCATGATTATCAAAAACCTGAAGAAATATTTCACCTTTGAAGTACAGGTGAGTATGGTCACAGTAATATATCTTCCTTGACCTGTACCAAAGAGATAACTATCCACCTTTAGGAAAAAGTGGCCATACAAAAATATTTGTGAGGGCCAGGGAGATGGCTCAGTAGATTAAGTGCTTCCCTGGCAAGCTCGAGGTCCTGAGTTCAATCTCCAATTTTGCCAAAAAAAAAAGTGAATATTCTCTTTTGCTTTTACTGTAAGCCCTATAGTTTTTCTTAATATAAGTTTGTTATTAGTATTGAAAAATTCATGCCAAGCTTTTAAAGAAACATTAAAGAAGCACCTAGAAAATTTAGCACTAGAAGGGCCATCGAGATAGCTCAGTGGACCAAGTGCCTGCTTAGGCAAGTGCAGTGATCGGGGTTTGATCCCTGGCACCACATGCTGCGCCAGTCCCACCTCCAAGCACACTAAGCCGGCAACTGAGTCCAGGCATGGTGGCCACACGCCTGTAATCCCAGCACTGGGGAGGCTGAAAACAGGAGGATCACTACAAGTTTGAGCTGTATACTGAGACCCTGCACAAAATGCCAAAAAAAAAGAAAGAAAAAAGAAAAGAAGGGGCTGGAGAGATGGCTCTGTGGTCTAAAGCACCTACTTGGAACAAGCTTGGCAAAGCACAGGGACCGCGGTTCAATCCTCCAGCACCACATGCCAGCCAGCCGCGCCCCCTGGTGGGCTGAGCTGGCCACACACACACACACACACACACACACACACACACACACACACAAAATAAATGTTAAAATAAAAAAAAAAAAGAAAAGAAAAGAAAAGAAAATTTAGTGCTAGAAAATGTTTTAAAGAAAATTTAGAGCTGGGGAGATAGCTTAGTAGCATAAGTGCTTGCCTGGCAAGCACAGGGTCCTGAGTTCAATCCCCAGTACCGCAAAAAGAAAAAAAAAGAAAATTTAAAGAAGCACCTAGAAAATCTAGTCAATGGCTACTAAAAAATTTCAAAGCTTAAAGCTTAGTATGGTGTCCATTTAGGGAGTAATTATGTAATGCTGATATACTCTATTATTTTTGATTTTTCAAAGGGAACAATGTTTATGAAATCAATTTTATGGTTTGAGAGCTGCCAAGTATGTCATATGTCGTAAGCAACTGATGTTGTCTTGGCAACAAATAAGATAAACTTGTTATTTACAGGCCATCTGTGTCTAGTGTGTGACCTGTATCTGGTCTGTTTATTTTTTTCTAGTTTCTTCCTTGGGAAACTGAGCTGTGGGAATTCAAGTTCTTGTCTTAATAAGATTGTGTGATCCTGCCAAGATGGAGCTGACATGACTGTCCCTCTGTATGTCACAGGTACTAGATGACAAGAATGTGCGTCGGCGATTTCGGGCAAGTAACTATCAGAGCACCACTCGTGTCAAACCCTTCATCTGTACCATGCCCATGCGGCTGGATGATGGCTGGAACCAGATTCAGTTCAACTTGTCCGACTTCACCCGGCGGGCATATGGCACAAACTACATCGAGACCCTCCGAGTACAGGTACTGCTCCTTTGCAGATGTTCTACGTTGGGGATGTGGCGGGGTATGCTGTATTTGATGCAGGGCTGTGCCCCATGTCAGTTTCTAGCTGAAGTTCCCAAGTCAGTGTCCAAGGGGCTTTGGCCTCAAAAAGGCCCAGGAATATTCAGAAGCTTGTTCAGATTGGGTGGATACACCAAGCACAGTTCCCTTCTTGCTTGAATCCACCGTTACGGGGAGCTGAGGAGATGCCAAGGAGGTGCAGTTTTGGAGGTGCAGCACTATGCAAGGGCCTCTAGGAGAATCAGGAAAAGAGGGAACCAGTCATGTCAAGCCTGTCAAAATAAGTCTTGCCTCCACAGATCCACGCAAACTGCCGCATCCGAAGGGTTTACTTCTCAGACAGGCTCTACTCAGAAGATGAACTGCCAGCAGAGTTCAAACTGTATCTCCCAGTTCAGAACAAGGCAAAGGTGAGGCAGTGCTCCTTAGATGAAGCCACATGGGGCAGGGAGTTGGGGAGCTGTGTCCTGGGAAGTACTCTAGTCTGAGCTCAGCTGCTGGCCTGTCTAGGTGAGCCTTTGGAGTGCCTTATTTCCTAAAATGTTGAGCCTTCGTCCAGCATCAGGCCTGAATCAAGGATGTTCTGTGAATACTCCTCAGTTGTGCTCTCTTCCCGATAAGGAACCCTACTCCACTGAGGGTGTCTGTTGCTTTTGCTGTCAGGCTGCCATCTGAGCCTTGTTCGCAGTCCCCAGTTCTTAACACCCAGTAGGTCCCTGCTGACACTGACGGATGCCTTCCTGCCTCCGGCTGCCTATAAGCTCAGGGCTCGCTCAGGCGTCACCAGAGGTGGAAGGCTGGCAGCACTGTTTTCTAATAATTAAATTAATACCTCTTCTATTTTTTACCTTCAGCAATAACTGAAATACAACTCGAGAGACAGACCCTGAACATGACTCTTAAGGAAACTACCTGGAGAATGATGCAAAAACCATTTATTACTTCACTGTGCTATGGTCAGCTTGTCATGGACACTAATGACCATAACTTCGTAACTGCGTCGTAAGTACAGTGGGGATAAGCAGTGCTTTGAGTGATACGTGACTGCTGGAGTTTCTCCTGCCGCCTGTCTGTGTGGGGAGATACTTGTACTTAGAGAATTAAATTTAGAGAATTAAAGTTGTCCGATAAGGCAATTTCAGACCAATATTTCTTCATACAGTTTATTCTTTGTTTTATATATATCTAAATATATGTATATGCTGTGTAATACTCACTTGGAAATAAAATACCGTATTCTTGATTTGTAAATTTGTTCCTTGTTTGTCTTTTTTAATAGTAAGATTTTTCTTTCATTTGTGCTGTGAAAGTAGAGTTGCTTCTGGTGAACATGCCATATGTTTCATGCTGTGAAGTGTCTTGCTGTGCTTAAAAGAGTGAGATAGGTTTGTGGACAGTGATTTGAGACAACTTTCAAGATAAGCTAAATGGGAAAAAATAAAACCAAAAAACCCACAAACAGCATCAGGCCAATAGAATCCTCTTATGAATGTTGGGTCCTAAATTGAGCTTAAAACAAAAAGACATGTAGTCCAACTTGCTCTTAAACACCTTGCAAGGTGCCACATTGGAACCCTGTGTGTTTCTCAAAATAGTCTAGGGCTCTTGGGCATTGGATCCCACTTCCCCTGAGTTGTAGGTGTGGTGCTTGCCTTGTGGGTTAGGGACCTGCAGGAAATGTTTCTCCAAATGCTGGAATCACGTAAGGAAACTGAAACTTGTACCACCTTTCCCACTCACACTCACTCAGAAGCTGTTGCTCTTTAGCAAAATGATCCGGGCACTATTGCACCTTGGGACACAGGGAAAGGTACAATAGCTACATTGATGAAAGTTAAATTTGGCGCAGCTCTGTGATGTTCCCCTCAAGTTGTCATTGGGGGAAAGCAGTCTGGAGGCAAAGCAGAGCACATGTAGATCTGCCTAAATCGCAAAGGACACAACTGGGATAGTGATTATGTCTGGGCAGAATGGGTAACATGTCATTGTATACTTTTTAATACTAGAGAATTAGAGGTTTGACACCTAGGGCCTTGTGCATGCTAGGTAAGCATTCTACCACTGAGCTATAACCAAAGCCCTAATTTTTTAAAAAAGAGAACTAGTTAATGTTATAAAAATGTCAAGGTCAAAACAGAACAAAAGTCCATTCCAGATACTATGTCCATTCCCAGTCAGATTCTACCAGGATGAGGCTGGAATTGTGGGCATCAACCATTTAGACTTTGGATGAAGGTGGAAATATGAACAGGATTTATCATTACTCACTTCCTTCTGAGAAGTTAAATGTCAGGAAGTGCTGTGGTAGACTGAGGCAGGAGGAACATAAGTTTGAGCCTAGGCTGGGAAAATTAGAAAATAAGCAACACCCTATCTTATGATAAAAACATTTAAAAAGCGGTGGGGATGTGGTGCAGTATGAGGGCCCTGGGGTCGATCACCAGTAACCGCCCCCACACACAAAAAAGCAAAAGCGTCCTCTCTTCCCCACATCCTTACCCCCCTCCCCAGTGTGGCTCTCGGTAAGCTTGACCAAACTGAGGTGGGCGGGGCTCCTGGCGTGTGCATTGGGCGGGAGAGGGGGGTGTTCTACCTCACATGACTGACCACTGCCCACCATTGCTGAGGGCCAGATGCTCAGGTTGGCTCAGTTAAGACAACTGTACCCTTTCTCTTGGGGCCACCTTTCCACACATATGGCCCCTGTCCTTCGGAGTCTGGTAGTTCCACACAGCAGAGCACCCCTTGGCCCAGTTGGCAGCTTGCCTTTTCAGGGCCACCTCCAGTCAAATCTGAATGTTGTCCCCTTTCTCTGTTCGAAGCATATCAACCTTCGCACTACTAGACTCCAGCCACCTGTCTCCCTCACTTTCTGGGTAACTTAGGGGTCCCCCAAAGGGGAGTGGCCAGTGACTTGAGAGCCTCTTGTCTGTAGCCACCATATAGCAAAGTCTTCCCTGTAACTGGTGTCGGTTGTGGTATGAAAGATGCTTTTGTGGGGAAGAGAATCTGGGTGAGCCTTTCATTTCCTCTTGAGGCCAGGATGTCAGTGCAGAGTGCCTGAGTCCAGAGAGACAGGCTCTTTCCTCCACACAGGGCCCCTTTCACCCCGAGGCACTTGTCAGGCAGTGCATGGGATTACCTCACTGCCCTCTGGGGTAGCAGATGCTGCACATACCCTCTGAGAGGAAGTGAGGGGCGCTCAGGCTGGCGCAGCCTGTCATCCAGCTGAGCCAGGCCAGTGTGAATAATCGCACCAGGACAATACAGAGCCTTGCCTTCTGCTGTCCCCAGGAGGATGGCAGCAGCAGTGGAGAGGCAGAGAGGAGAAGGAAAGGAAAGGGCAGGGCTGGAGGCTGCCTCATAGACCCTGGGCCAGGGTGATCTCTGATCATAGTAGCTGGAGCGCGCAGTGCCCTGGAGGCCCTGTTGTGTGCTTGGAAGGAGCTGTCTTCTAAAGGAGAGTGCTAGTTGGCATGAACTCAAAGGAAAGGCACACAAACACTCCCAATAGAGCTCCTGAAGGTGAACAATCCGCTGCAGTGCCGACCTGCCACTGCCTGCTGACTGTGTCCTTTGTCACCACAAGGTTGCCTGGTAGCTGAACTCCAGGCCTTGTGGCTGAAGGCAGAAAAGCTCAGGGACACGGTTTGAGTTTCACTAATAGGTCATTAAAGTCATTCATGATCACAATAAATTCCAACTATGAGAGGTATGAAGTAAGATACAGGTCCCAGATCTCATTCTTGGAAAATATTTGCATATATTAATAAAATATGGTTGTCTTTTCTTCCTGTGCCCATGTTCTAGCTTGGACGACTCTGGATTCTCTGTCACTGTCACTTGTGCTCTTCTAGGAAGGCCTGGTACTGAGAGAAATTTTTTTTCTTCCTTTTCTCCTCCCTTTCATTCCTCTCTATCCCTTCTTTCTTTCCTCTCCTCCTCTCCCCTCCCCTCCTCTCCCTTCCCTTCCCCTTTTCTGTCTCCTACTGGGGATCGAACCCAGGGGGGATTTTTTTTTTTTTGGCTAGCTAAGGCTGCCTTAAAGGCAGGACAGGTGTGGCTTGTGGAGCTGGGAATCGAACCAAGGTCTGCTGCGCCTGACAGAGTTTGCCCAAGTAGGCACTTTAAACAACTGAGCTAACCCAGAAGCCCCCCAGATGTTAAGAAGGATTCTTTTTCTTTTTTGGCTGGCTGAGGCCACCTTAAGGGCAGGTCTGGTGGGGGTTGTGGAGCTGGGGATCGAACTGTGGTCCCTTGTGTCTGATTGGGTTTACCCAAGCAGGCACTTTAAACAACTGGGCTAACACGCAAGCCCCCTCTTTCTACTACTGGGAACTGGATCCAAACAGCACTGAGCTATGTCCCAGCTTTTTTTTTGACTCAAGGTCTTGCACTATTTTCCAGGCTGGCCTTGAACTTGTGATCTTCCTACCTCAGCCTAGTATGCCACAGCACCCAGTTGCATGGAATGTTTCTAAGAAAGGTGTGAACAGAGAGCTTGGTATATTGGAGCACCACTTTAGAGATGGCAGCATGCCTCACACCTCTTCAGGAGCCTGCCTGAAGGCCAGGGGTAGGGCCCACCCCCATTCACAAACAAGCACATAAGTCGAAGAGCTACCGAAGTCTGCATGGCTCTTCTGGGCCAGCACTGTGCACACATAGCCTAAGGCTTCCTGGTGGAAGATCAGGCTCCTGCTGCTTACCATGGCATTGACCTCATAAAATACTTGTTCACAGCATCTAGAATATGGGCATGGGTGCATATACCTGTAAGTAATTCCAGCACCCAAGAGGCTGAGGCAGGAGGATCATGAGTTTGAGGCCAGCCGGGGCAACAAAGACCCAGTCTCAAAAGCAAACACGTTGGGGCTGGGGAGACAGCTCAATAAAATAAGTGCTTGCCTGGCAAGTGCAAGGGCCTGAGCTCAATCCCTGGTTCCGCCAAAAAAAAAAAAAAAAAAGCAAAAAGCAAACACATTTGCTAATAGATATATTTGAAGCTTGCAAGGGGCCAGGTAGCATTTTAAGCATTTTACATATATTATTTTACTGAATTGTCATAACACTGAAAAAAGAACTATTATTTCCATCTTATAGATTAGGAAGGCAAGCCTCAGGGTTGATATGTGCCTAAGGTCCCACAGACAGGCCCTAAGTGGTTGAAGTGGGTCCAAACTCAGGCCGTTGAACCCAAGTGCTAGGCGTTTAAGTCTCTCAGCTTGTTGATCAACTGTTCAAAACTAGTTTGGTGGAAAAGCCTGTGAAGCCACTGGACGGGAGGATATCATTGGTGGCCCAGCAATTATAACTCTCCTGTTATCTTCACACAGTGGGTGCCGTGCGGCAAAGAGAGGCACAGAAGGCGGCCAGCACACCCCCATCCCAGGGAACCTTCTGAGTGCAATGAAGAGTGACAAAAATGAGGCAGCAAATGGTAAGTATGATTAATTGCAGGGCTGGTGATGTAGTTGAGTGACAGAGTGCTTATGTAACATGTATAAGGCCTTTGTTTGATCCCAGTACCCTCAAATTTTTTTTTCTTTTGTTAACACTTGTTGTTATGGGATCCAGGAAGGGACTGACTGTGTTACACAAGGAGAATGTTGTAACTGAAGGTGGTGCTGATGGGGTGGAGACACACCTTCAAGAGCCACTCCAGGGCCTTCCAAGTATCAGCAGTCCTCTGCTTCTTAACTTGAGGAGTTTTTACACAAGAACTTTTGAAAGTTATTATTTAACTTATACACAATGAATATATTCTTCTGATAATATTTCTCAATTTTCAAAAATCAAATTCAGATTTCCTGGCTGGCCCTGGCCTATTAAAATGCAGGTGGCTAGGACCCAGATCATTTAAAGGAAGATGAATTGTCCCCAGACTAAAAGCTGTGTCACTGTCTCACTCATGCAGCCCAGAAACCTGCATGTTAACACCTTCCGGTGGTTTGAGCAATTATGTCACTTGGGAGCTTCTCTATGCAGGAATGAGCAGGTTAATGTGACACCTCTGAGTGTCAGATCCACAGGGAGAGAAGAGGGACGTAGGGCACACTCGGCCCAGGCCACCTGCACACACTGGCCTCTCCCACCCCTCCCACCACAGAAGCCCTTAAATTCCCTTTAGAGAGAGAGCTCTAGGATGTAATTTACATCTCTGAATCTTCCATAATCTGAAAATGTGGGCTGCTGTCATGTGACCCATAGGGGCCTCCAAACTGTAAATCCACCT